GTAGACACGAGAAAATACCGGCGAAAACGGAGCCTGCTCCGAAAGGGGACGAAACGATCCTGGCACTCTTAGACGAAATCGCGAGCGAGTAACACGTCGAGAAACATAGCACAGATTCTAGATCGAGAATTAAGTCGGAATCGCAAAGTCGGTGAAACGATAGGCAAGAAACGGTTTTGTAACGTCGTTAATTAAGTGTGAATAAAGGAATGTGATTAAGTTGTCGCACACAACCGAGTCGTAACAGTTATTCAAAACCTAGCTTGTGTTGTCTGTTGTGCCGAAAGGTCGATAGTCGTTGTCGAAGTCGTCCTTGGCTTTTTCTATCAAGTGTTTGTCGGTCGTGAGCGAACGTTCACAATGGACAATTTAGAAATTCGCTGATAGTCGTGTCGGTATTATATATATATCATAAAATAATAAATTTCAATTTGAAGAAATTATATTACATAATACTCTTTGTTATACGCACGCAGTTTTTCGGAAGTTTCTACGGCAATATCGCGATTTGTGTCACGCTCGGAAATAAGATCAGTGTTAGTTTGTGCAAGTTGTTTAACAAGATCAGCGAGTGTTTTATTATCGTGATTACGGCAGTCAAATCCGAACAACAACTTGGCAGGCGAGTTCTTAATCGCTTTATGGTGAGTATTGTTTAACACATATTGCGCTTTGTTGAAAAACAACTTCCATTGTGACGCGTTATCAATAATCTTTTTAAGGGAAGATTTTAAGAATCGGTTAACCCGTTCAACCAACCCATTAGCTCATGGAGAGGCGACTGCGACTTGACGGTGTTTAACTTTGAGTGACTTAATGAAACTCTCGAACTCCTTAGAAGTGAATGCAGTACCACGGTCAGTAACTATCTCAAGTTGCTTTCCAAATATATTGAACAATTCATTTAGATATATTGACACTTCTTTTGTATTGGTGGTTTTAGTTGGGTACAACCACGTAAATCGAGTGAATGCGTCCACCACCAAGAACACAAAACGGAAACCGTCATCGGTTGTTTGCAGGGGACCGAAATGATCGGCGTGCAGAATATCAAAAGGCTTTGATGCACTAGATATTATCTGCATTTCCCCTTCACGCGCGTGTGATGAAGTGTTCGCAAGTAAGCACACGATACAGTTATTTATATAATCTGTTACTCTTTTCCTGAGTGAAGGAAACCAATAAGAAGCTAAAATTCCTTGAATTGTCTTTTCAACTCCACAGTGAGCCAAATCATCGTGGTAAATGCGGATCACGTTAGAAACTAAGGACTCCGGAACTACAAATCTCGAACGGTCAGCTTGTTTACGGTAAACTAAACCGTCAATTAGCTCGAATTTATCATCATCACCGAACTCAAGTCTCTTCGCAATCTCCAAGACCTGTACATCAAGAGCTTGTTTCAACTCAAGCTCACGCTCAAGAGGTAAAGTATTTACATACAAAATAAGTCAACTAAGGGCGTCAACGTGCGCCATTTTATCACCCGCTCGGTGTTTAATTTCAAACTTATAATTTTGCAGAAGCAATGTCCACCTGGCAATCCGTGGATTCAAATTAATTTTGTTTACCGCATGCACAAGTGCATTACAATCAGTGAATATGGTAAAAACAATACCATATAAATAAATGTGGAACCGCTCAACAGCCCTTACAATCGCGAGCATTTCCAGCTCGAAGCTGTGGTAACGAGCTTCCGCTTTATTCGTGGGCTGGCTGAAATACGCAATCGGTGCAAATTGCCCAGATGCTTGCTTCTGGAAAAGAATAGCACCTAACCCGCTCAAACTCGCGTCAGTATGTAAGTGCGTTTCGGCCACTGGATTGTAAAGACATAAAATCGGTTGTGACGATAACTCTTTTTTCAGGTCTACAAATGCTTTGACACATTCCGCATCAAAACTAAATTCTACCGCTTTGCGCAATAGATTCCGAAGAGGNTTAGTTTTGNTCGAGTAATCCCGAANAAATTTGCGGAAATAATTCGTCAAGCCCAAGAACTGCTGGACATGTCTGAGGTTGCGCGGCTGCGGAAAGTTTTCAATCGCAGCGGTATGACGCGGACTTATTGTAATTTTGTTTGCTGAAACTTTGTAACCTAAATATTCAATTTCTTTCTTCAAGAATTTACATTTACTGAGATTTAACTCAAAATTATATTGTTTTAGGATACATAAGACCTCACGAAGTATTTGAAAATTCGCTTCTACCGATTCTGTGGCAATCATAATATCGTCTATGTAAACCAAGACTTTGCCATCTCTTATGAGAGGATGCAAGATATTGACAATACGCTTTTGAAATTCGGCCGGAGCCTCACAGAAACCAAAAGGTAAGCGAACAAATTCAAACTGCCCATCGGGCGTCGCGAAAGAAAAATACTTTGTGCTATCTTTATCTACTTTAATTTGATGGAAACCATCTTTGAGATCGAGGAGTGTAAAAACCATTTTATTTCCCAGGTGCGCTATGCAGTCCTCGATCAAGGGAAACGGATATTTCTGTTTGACGACCCTATCGTTTAAAGGCCTTAAATCAACGCAAAGGCGTAGCGAACCGTCTCTTTTTCTCACCGGCACGATTCTAGCGCAATAAGGCGACGAACTTCTCTTTATAATGTTACGAGCTAAAAGGTCGTCTGTTATCTGGCGGATTTGTAATTTTTCCGCTAACGCAAACCGGCAAGGCGAGTACGCATATATAGAGTGATCTTTAAGGTAAACCTTTACGCAATAATCATCATCCACTATATTTATTTTTAAATTATCAATCTCAAACAATAATTCTTTTAATTTTACTTTGGTTTCAGGACCAAAATCAACTTGAATTTCGTCAGTTAAATTTTCTGGCGCATTATTAACTTCACAAGCGAGAATTTGAAGGAACGTTTGCCCGAATTCTTGTTCATCGCATTACGAAGAGAGATCTTTCTGCTGGCTATCTATACTGGGTTGATAAATAGCTGTAATGCCATGACGATTTAAAAAGTCTCTGCCAATAATAAGATCTGTCGTTAAAACGTTATCTTGCAAGATATGCAAAGAAATCGGCAGTTTCAAATGCGGCAATTGACTGAACGAAATCAAGGTATTTACAATACCAGAAATTAAAACTGGTTNGCCATTAAGAGCTTTGTAAGAATTCAATGAATCTGCTAGGGAATTCTTTAATTTACTTTGCAATTTTTGATAAATTATAGGATTTATAAACGATATTGGACTACCGGTATCCAGCANAGCTGACAGCGAGCAAACTGAACTCTCCAGGAATGTGACTTTTAACGGCGCGTCATTAAACTGAATAGATTTCGGACTTAAAGAATTAACGAACGCTATCGTTGATGACTTGTCGACTTCCACCGAAGAGACCGTTGTNGAAGATGACGTCGCTGCTGCTGAGGTAGTCTGCTCGTTTTTCTTTTTTAATTTAAAACAATACGCTTTGAGATGTCCACGGCTCTTGCAGTATACGCAAAATGTATTGTCGTTTTCGTTATTAGCTTGGGATCCTTTGGCACTGCTTTTGGTAGCAGCCTCCTTGGACCTTGAAGCCTTCATGTCTGCAGAAGATTTCCTATCTGGATCTGCGGAAACAGACGTAATCTGATGCATTGCGTCTAAAAACCTATCGACCGATTCAGACCTTAACGCGGCGGCTGTCTCTCTCAAAGAACGATTAGGAATGCCACCGATAATCAAATGTATTGTGCTGTCATCATCAAGGTTTAAGGTATGCATCAAAGCAATTTTCTCCATAGCATAATCCACAAAACTTTCCTTATGTGGTATCCATCTACGCGCTTCTACTTTTTGTATAGCTACGTGATATAAAATTTTACGAGTGAAGCGATTAAGTATTGCCTCACGAAAACCGTCCCACGACTCTAACATTGAATCGTGACCTAAGTCGAACCATCTCTTAGCAGTCTTTGTTAGTTTTGTTATAGAAGCTAGAAAAGAGACTTCTTCAGATACCTTATGTATTTGAGAGACCTTCTCGACACGCTGAATCCACAGCTGCACGCTCTCGTCCATCTGTCCTCCGAACTCAGGTATTTGAGATGCGAGTAAGGTGACAGCATTAGCAGACGGCATAGCAGACAAAGCAGATGGGCGCGATGAGAGATGACTGTGAGGTGTGAGCGCCTCTTGCACCGGCTGTTCATGCGAAACGGCATCACTTGGCTGAGAACGATCGTTGTGAGTATGATCAGGCAGTGTGCGACTAAATGCAACCATCATCTGCTGCAACACTTCTAATTGACGCTGTTGACCCTGTAGAATCTGTTGCTGCATGGCCTTCATTGACTCGTTGATCGATGCCACTAGAAACGACATATCCGGAGCCCCTGGCTGCTCGGAGAAAGGTGAGTGTGCTGACGCTTGGTCGCCACCCGGCGGTCTCCGCGCAGCTATCCTGGCACTAGACCGGGGAAGAACTCCTGAAGGACCATGTCTAGCTTCTGATGCGAGATCAACTGGACCATGTCTTTCCAGATGAGACATAAGCGCGTCAATTATTTTAATCGGATCGTCGCTGACTTGAAGACCGTATTTCCTCGCCTCGTTCTTCAGCTCATCCAAGGACATCTTGTCCAAAACAGTACGATCCATGTTGACGCGATCACTGTTTTCTTGAGTGACTCGATATTCGTATTTGTTATCGAAATCACAAAACAACCGTGAGATAAACTGACCTTCGCGTGTATATGTGTAAGTATGTTTAAGAGAGTGTGTTTTATCTGATCACGTGAAGCGTGACCTTCACTGCTTGTTCACCGTATTTCTAACGGACTCGGTTTGAATTTATGCGTTAAAACTTTTAATTTGCTTTTTAGGCAAGGAAAAATCCAACAAGCACAAAACGGAGTCGGAAATGGTGAAACTGCAGCGAAAGGAGTAACGTGAAACTGGAGCAACGACAGCAAAGAGGAAGATGCAATCGGACCAGGAATACGACACAGAATTGGAGCATACGACACAATTTTAGCAGCAAAGGAAAAACGAAAGTGAGAGAGGAAAAGCGGAGCAGGAATCCCACTTCTGATATTTAAATTAGTCTGTAAGATCTGATTGCATTATTTTGTCAGAAAGGCTGAAATCGTTAAATGAAGGAACGGTGGAACGGGAACAAAGCAAATGTATAAGTTCAATAAATGCAAGAAATAAACGATAAATAATATGTAACACTATTGACTATACCGCACTTACAATAATTAAGAAATATACAATGAAATATCACCGTGATTACGATCTATCAGACAAATTAATTTTGAGTTGAGCGCACACCGGTCAGAAGGAGCAAATCGGAAAAAACTCTATTCAATGCACAAGGTACGGCACTCTTCTGCCACATGGCTATAACCGGCGTAACCGGCGTAACCGGCTGGTCGCTTCAGCGCCGCCTGTTCGACTCTCTAGGAGTCAATACTATCGATTAATACAATCGATACTATACATCTATCGCATGAGATAACCCTTTCGGATGTAAGAGGTCGCTATTAATTAAACAATTTAGATAAATTTTTCTACAATATTGACCTTTTCCAACCACTCGGCTGCCGTCAAATCCTTAGTTTCCGGATCGAACTCTGGCAGTACTTTCTCGTTAATATATCGATGGGACCCCCTTGAACTCGTATGCATTAAGCCCGCCAGCACCTCCGTTAGTTTTGCGAAATCGGACTCACCGCTCGCCTGGCTATATCGGTCGGATGCTTGCTGATAGGGCGTCTTCCGAGCTTGCGACCTGGATCGCGATCTCGATCGTCGATCGCGACGCGTATCAAGCCTGGCTCGATCATGGCCGCGATTCCTTTCTGACGACGATCTCATGCTGCAACCCTCGCCGTCGCGAAAACGTATCCTGGCCGTACTTCTGCTACGAGACCGTCTTCTTCTAGATGACATCTCGAATTGCGTCGCGATATCTTTTCCTTGTTGTAGGTTTTCCTTTGTGCAATTCGTTGTTTACGTAACACGCACCACGACACGTTAACTAAAGTTTTGAAACTCACAGACACGTGTGTATATCCCACTTCTGATCTGTAGTAAAATAATAAGTAAAATAATGTAGTGTAGTAAAATAATGTAATGTATTTATTTCGACCAGAGATTTGACCACTGGTCTCTATGGAACCTCGCAAGAAATCGCACTATATGGCACAACACAAAAAAGGGCTCGCCGCTCAGTCTTTGTTTTTCGCTGGTTCGTAGTGATCACGCGATCGCTCTCTCCCTTTTTTGGGGAGGGGGTTCGTCCTTCGCCGTCCAACGCCGATCACAGTGCTGCCGCTCTGATGGTAACCAACTACTGATCTGTCGCTCCATCTGTCGGCACTCCTCGATGTCAAGACACTAGAACCGGCATCTTAATATCTCCCACACTATATTGATCTTTATTTCCCTGAACATTTTTTTCTTCCCAGCATAACTTAACTAAACTATTTTCCCTAATTTCCCTTACCTTAATCTCGTATCTCAGTGCTCTTGTTCCCCATCTAATTTTCAACTTTTTCCTTCCCAGTTCTCTAAGGGTACGATCCCATGCACTGTTATTTTTCGCGTAACGCGTAACGCGTAACCAATCAGAGAGATTACGTGCTTTATGTTAGTACACGTAATTTCTCTGATTGATTACGCATTACGCGTTACGCGAAAAATAACAGTGCACGGGATCGTACCCTAAGTATCACATATCTCGGTGTGCAAAAGTCTAGTCCGAATACCCATCTTATATAGTCTAACATAATTTTCTCTAGCTCTTTTTTCTCCTCCCACCTCCAAATTTCAACTTCATATAACATTACGCTCTGCACTAAATATCTAAAGAGCATCCATCTTCTATTGAAATCGTTCTTGCACATTTTTTCCCCCAGACCTCATATCTTATTTGCTGCTGATCTCTCTTTCCTACTGAGGGTGCCAGTATATGAAGCGCAGAAA